GGCTGCCGCTGCGGTGCTGTTGCAGGTGAAGAAGGCGGTGGAGGCCCTCCTGGCCTTCGCCAGAAGCAAGGCCAAGGGAGACGCGCTGCTCCTCAACGAGAGCGAGAACATCCACCTCCTGGTGACGGTCTGGAAGGTCCCGCGGGTGGCACAGGTTATCAAAATGTAAGGAATTCCTCGGCCGTGTAGTTACAGGAGTTGCTCGTGTCCTTTGGCTTGGAAAAGAGCAGTTTGCTAATTCCGAGCTTCAGGGATTTGACTTGCCGCCGTCCTGTGCTGGCAGCTCCCATGCGTGAGCGAGAACTGCCGGGCCAGACCACTGCTCTGCCCCCGCTGCTGGTGTAACTGGAAGCGCAGCTGTGCCTGCTTCGTGCACGCAGAGAATACCGATTTTGTTGTCTGCCAGTTACAAGGGACGTGCCTTTCAATCCTGAAGCTCAAGAAAAGAAATCAGTCTCTTCTTTGTCTTAAGCCACAACCAAATCTTAAGAAAACCCCCTCTTCTTTTTTGTGATACCCCAAACCGAATATGAACTATAAGTTTTCTTTCAAACTGTAATGCTGTGTTGAGAAAGTTTACATCTATTTGTGCGGACCTCAGTACTATAAAGACTCGTCTGTTGACTGGATGCAGCCATGGTGTAGAGAGGAGAGTGGATGGTCCTCCTCCCAGGACCTGTGTGGTAATGGCTCCTGGCAGGACAGATGGATTCAGCGGTGTATCTGACTGGAGCCACGGCATATGATTGTTTAACTTTTCCAGTTCTGTGTGCTTTAAAAAGTGTAGGTTCCACTGAGGACATTTAGTAGTTAGCAAAGAGCAGAATCTCAATATATAGCTTCCCTGTAGTACTTATTACGGTGTGATGATCTCTCAGTGTAGATCTAGTTCTGGAAAAAAACTTCTTTCTCCTCTTGGACATTCCCTGTCCATCTCATATTCTCATTGCAGTCCACTGCCCCATGGCATTCGACCAGAAACAGCTGAAGTTTGCCTGTTCACAAAGGATGAACCAAATTTATCAGCAGAACAGACTGAAAATCTGTACAGGAAACTTTTAATCCAGAATGGGATCAGAAGTGTTAGCCAGGTAAGAGAGGTATATGATGGTATAGTACAGTACTATCACTTCTTTCCCCTTGTACCCACGAAAAAGGAAAGTTACTGTTTCCTGCTGTTTAATATTCTAATCTCAATGGCTTTGAGTTAATGGTCTCTAGTAAGATTTTTCTGACTGTTCAAGCTGTAGTTTTTCTAAACTTCAAAGTTTACTCAGAATAATTTCAGTTTGAAAAAACCCTTGATTTAGATGTTACCATGTACTCGAGTTCTGTTTGGTGATTCACAGTTACTATGCAAGAGATCCATATTGCTTGATTCTTAAACAGAAAGCGGGGACTAAACTGTTAATTGCATTGCAGATCATCTCATACAAGACTCTCAAAAAAGAGTATAAACTCTTTGAAGCAAAGCGTCGCCTCCTGAACAGATTCGATCTCTTTCTGTCTGATGACCGAATTAGAAGGCTCTTGCCCTCACATCTAGGAAAACACTTTTATGAAAGGAAAAAGTAGGTCTTTAAATTCTGTAGATCCATTTTGGAGCATCATCTTTTTTAAGATTAGATTCTTTGTAGTAAAATTTTGGTTGGTTGCATTTGACAGGGGGTGGGTTTTGTTTTCTTTGGTTTGCTTTTTTAATATTTATTTTTAATCCCCTCCTTTTGTTTTTTAGGGTACCTTTATCTGTAAACCTGAAAGCCAGAAATCTTGCTAAGGAACTACAAAAACATATCCAGGGGACTACGCTCCCGGTTACCAACAAAGGGTGCTGTTAGTAAGTAGTACATCACTTGAAGGACGGTTGTACCTTAACTGTAGGAATTTTAAGTGAGTTATTTTTATTGCGTTAATACGTGAATAAAAGCAATTAACGGTCACCATTCCAGATGTGGGCCATTTTGAACCTTAACCTGTATAAAGAAATCAGTAGTTCTACGTTTTGTTTCTTTTTCCTTACGCCTAAGGAGTTTCTAGGCAACTGTTGCTGTCAAACAGCATGTACAATCTTAGAAAAATGTTAGTGTTCCAAAATACTCTAGTCTTGTAAGACTTTTTTCATTTATTGTGCATCTAAAAGTATCTAAATTGGTAATATGCGTAGTTATATAAGGCAGAACTTGCATATCCAAGTAGAGAAAGGTTAATACAGATAAATCCATTCTGACTGTGACTACAAAAGATTTCTGCAGTAGCCAGCCATGCTTTAAAAGGGAAGATAGCTGCAGATAAATGGGCTTTTTTCATTTCTGGGTATGCCTAAAAACAGGTAACGTGAAGTATGTTTGTTTGCCCCTGTATAAATACTACTTGTCACTTTTTTCAGTACAGCACATATAGGCCACACTGGGATGAAAGCTGATGAGGTACTAGATAACGTAATTGCGGCCGCTGAGGTGATCGCCAAGAAGTTACCAAAGGTACTGCTGACTGTTTGCATTAAAGCCAGGTCGGTTCATAATTCAGCCTTGTTATTTTTACATAATACACTGTTTTTGTTGTTGCAGAATTGGAAAAATGTAAAAATTCTTCACCTCAAAACACTTAAATCAGTTGCACTTCCAATTTTTACTGCAAACATCTCCAACTTGGATGAGCTCGATAGACAGCCATCTCTCAAAAAAAGGGAAGTAAAGGTAAAAAAAAATTCTTCAGATTTACCATAAAACCAAACTGAAACTAGAGTTCTTTGGCTTCCTTTTATGCATTTGTGATGTGTTGGGTTTAAACATTTTAGCTGTTGATCCCAGGCATTTATGGCTACAAGTGGGTTAGGTGCTTCTGAGTCTAACTGCTTCAAATACTCAGTAATGCTAATGGAATTAGGGAAACTCCCTGGCAGGTTGTAAAGCAAACTGGAAATAAGTTAGGCTTTTCTAGTCCCAAACTGTAGGCAGCTGAGATTAATTCTTAGAACTTTTGCTTTTATTTTTTATTCATATTTGCCTTCTGAAAATTACCATTCCCATATACATGGATTCAGACTATGCATCCGTTATTTGTTGGCTAATCAGTGGCATCTGAAAAATTCACGAGTTCACATATTTGTATATATATGAGAGGGGCTCACCTACTTTTTACAAAAAGAAAATAATCAGCTGTTCCTTTGTACTGAGTTCTGCTTGTTATGTTCTTTTGTCTAAAATAAATTTGGAGTATATATATTCAACTTAAAGACTGAAATTTTGATATTATTACCATTTACTTACAAGCTATTTATAATAAACTTCTGAAAGTAATGCATTTTTTCATATTTTAGATATGGTTGACCAGTCCAGGTCATATTTTATATATAGTTGACCAGTGTAGGTCAGTTGAAGAACAGTATTTAAATTAATGTTGCTAGACTGTCTTATTTTTAAGCATATTAAAACAATTATACATTTAGAAATGTTACGGGGATTTGTCTGAGGTGTACTTGCAATTATTTCTAGAAGGGAAAGAACAAGAAACCAAAGAACACAGCTAAAAAACCGAAATCAAGTCAAGTCGCACTGACAACTGAAGTTAATGCTGCTGCTGCTACCCAGGAGCTTGCAATAAAAGAAAAAGCAGAAGTAGTCCGAGAACCAGGTGATCAGGATGATGAAGAAATTCCACAACTGGTGCCTATGCAAACAACCAGCGTAGCTGAGCTAAAGGTAATTGTTTAATAATATTGAGAAACTCACATTTCAGTTAAAACTAAAGATCTTTAACATGAAATCGTTCCTTGCTCCTTAGGGAACAGTGTGCATTAACACATTTAATGTGAACGGGATTTTTTGTGACTATATCATGAAAGCAAGGGTTGAGTGTATGGGGGTGGTGCCTTGGGGAGGTGGTTAGTTTTGGGTTGGGTTTTATCTGTTTTGTTTTGAGGGGGTTTTTTATTTCTCTGTTAACTTCTTCTACAGACAAAGGAAGCCAGTGCTTATTGTCCTTTTACATATTTTTCTGAATAGCAGCGATTTTTGTCTAAGTCAAATAACAAGCCTGAAGTCAGAAGAAAGGGTAAATGACTGAGAAACAGCTTAATACTTAATCAAGTAAATCATAAAAATTTTAATTCAAAACTACTTGCAAAATTAAATTTTAATGTATTTTAAATCTTCTGCCTGGAGTGCAAAACTTGAGGAGAAACAAGGAACATTTTCTAGGGGATGGTAATATGCAACATTCACAGCGACATAATCTAAATTGAGAGCTAGCAGCTTGCATGAACTACTGTGTGGACTTACTGTTACCAGTGTTGGAGATGATGTGGATCATGTCATTGACATGTCTGCAAAATACCCAGACTGATAATACCTTTAACAAATATCTAGGAAAGATATTTGGATGAATAAAACAGTAATACTTATGAATTCAACTTAGGTATACTGTATTTGTGACTGGAACATATCCTTAAACTTTAACAGTGTGCCTCTGCAGAAATGCCCAAACTAAAACTGTAATTATCTGCAGGCCCACTAAAAAAATTCATACAGCCGCCTTCAAGCTGCACTCATGCAGCAGGCCTGCATTCGCTCACGTGATGGGATTGCCAGAGCCCTATTTCCAGAGCCCTGGCATAGATGCAGCTAGAGTTGGAATGTATGAATTGTTCCGATGACAGCAGCCCTCTTTCATGAGGGCCGTTTGGGAACATGGGATGAAGTCTGGGGACTGCTAGGCCTAGTGAGAGGTAAGAGTGCAGTCAGTTGTGTGCGTACGGGTGGACTTCAAATAGAGCTGATCTCTAGTCGATCTGTGGCAAGAAGCGGGCCGTGGTTTGAAGCTCTGCCAGCAGAGGTCAGTGATGACTGGCCAAGAGGACCCTTGCATCTGTTAAACCTGTTTACTTTCTTACTATTTTTTCATTATTTGCATGATTTAGTTCTCTGTTTAATCCTCTGCTTCCAGACTGAAATGTAATCTGATTATTTGGGCTAGAGAAAGCATTTGTCATTGTCAATGTTTTCATTGATCCTTCTTGAAAAACAGTGAAGGTGCTTCTTAGGTGGGAACGTAAATTTTGTGTGTCTTCAAATACAGAAAATGGAACCAAGTCCAGAAAAAGGTGACAACCTGGGTGAGAAAACCAAAGCACCCCGTGGTAAGAGAAAGAAACAACCTTTATCTCTGGAGACTCCAAAACCAAAACATAAAGTTACAGAAAAGGATGCAGACTTGCAGACGTCATCAGAACAGAAAAACGCCAAGCAGCTCAGCATACTAAAGGAAGCAATAAAAGAGATGAAAAAGACTCCCAAAAAGCCTGAAGCAAAGTCTTTTGCAACACCCAAAGCTGGCAAATCAATACAGTCAGACAAGAAGTCTTCAAAAACACCAAAGAAAGCACGCAAGAAAGTGCGTAGGCAACAGTCAGCATGAATGTTGTCTGTTGTAACACATTTTATGTAATCATTCATTTTTAGTAAGCAAATATATCAATGAAGTAAATTACTTTCTTAAGAAAATCTGTTTCAAAGAGCTTTTTTCAGTGAGACCTGTAATGATTCATTTGTGTTTCCTTCTAACTGACAAGCTGGAACAAATAAATTCACGATCTTAAGTGGCACTGTTTCTTACCTTTTATCTTTTCCTGGCCCAAACTAAAAGCACTCAAAGTCTTTAAGTGTCAAAGGGCAAAGAGGGGACTATTCCAGGGAAAAATAGCTGAGAAATAATTTATAAATGGCATCTTCCTGAAGCATAGCTTAGTACTGGAACAGACAAGGGCTGATGCAAGAAGCACGCATGCATACCAAGAGCAGCAAGGTATTTGACGTGATTTACAATATGAAATAGCTGCCACCATTTTTTCTTAAATTAGTGAAAATGGGTTGACAGCGATTGCTCTTATTCCAGATATTTAAGTTAGCAGCCCGATAACAAGCCAAACTTAATGCATTATTTAGCTATTTTTACCTAGGGTATTTGTGTGGTTAAAAAAACAAACAAACAAACAAAACACAAAAAAACCAACAAAACCCCACAGACAATTTTACATTTATTGTATGCTTTGACCGTTTATACTTAATGACATTAGCAGAATCTCCTTACCTTCACTTTTGGGCTTTATTTCTGCTACGAGAACAATTGAGGGTACCGCCACATGCTGGTCGCAATACTGGTGTTTCTTCCATCTGAAAAACACCAAAGGCTGTATGAATTTGGGGTGTGCCAGCTAAGTGAACCAGTCCCATAAAGACATGAAAAATACACACTGCAGGACTGAAAAGTTACGTATTTTACATAATAACCAAACTGTTGCTCTCTGTATGATTACTTCACATCCTTCTCAGAGTGAGAATACAAGGCAGATTTGTGATGAAAAGTCCTAGTGGTAAAAATTTTATTAGCAGTATTTTACTCAAATCCAAACAGGGAAAAGGTCTTAAGAGACAAGAAGATTAATCAACAGTATGTAACCTGCCTAATTTGCAGAGTTCAAAAAAACCTATCTCCTATTTAGGACATCCCATATCAATAGATTTGCTACCTAGAAAGTAATTGGGTGCTAAATAAAAAGTGGTAAAAGAAACTAAAGAATGTTAAAAGATTATGCTTGATCCATGGTGTCAACTTTCTGTAACCTGTGACCTCTTGTTCTAATCTACCATAAACATTTTTTCATCAAGAAACAAATTAATCTTGGCCAAAAAAGCAAGTCTGACTCAATGCTAACAAAAAGACCTGATCTTGTCCAAAAATAACCCCATCACTTTCTAGTCTGGGCTGCAAAATATTACTTCACTTCCATAAGAGCACAGCAAGAGAATAGAACTTGATAGAACACAGAACTTGCCTCCTTTCTGGAAATGTGTTTTTTGTATCTAGTTGTTTATGTTAAAATGTTTCCTAATTTGTAGATGTGCAGAAAATCATTAGATGAAGATTGTAACTTCTGTATGAGTAATCGGTAATGAACCGTGCTAACTTGTAGGTCCTGGAAAAACACATCCTTCCATTGAAAATGCTAACAAGTACTGCCTTGAACTTCTGCAGCACTGTAAACCAGTCTATGCTGAGACTGCAGTAGTTAGTCTTGCCTTTTCTTTGATAGCAGCACTGGAATTCATACAGATAGGTAGGACACCTGAAGCGTCCGCTTGGCATAGCTATAAACTGACCCATTGGGGAAAAAGCGTGCACGTGTGTATATATATATATATATATAAAAATACATATAGCTGAATTTGTTCAGTTTATGTTGCAGAGTATGCAGGATTCTGACAGTTAAATACAAAGTAACACTACTGATGTGATTTTTATTCTTCCTTTGAGTAATGTTCTCTTCTATTAAAAATAGATGTACGTACAATTCAGGAGATCAGTGGGTAACAATTTGACGTAGCTATCACAGATCTTCACTTGGAGACATTAGCAGTAGTGACCCTTGCTCAGCAGCAGTAAGTTACCATTGGTACAGGAAGGTACAGTTCTCAGCGGTCTGTACATACTGAAGATCAGTGTTGAATGATGGAGTTAAATTATATTTATTCAGGAAACTACTACTTAGTAATGTTTTTCTTGCTTGTTTGAGAGACCTGGGAAAACCTGTAACTTTGCTCATCAGGAAAGGAGGAAATACAAAAAACTAACATTCATTCAAGTTGAAATGGTGCCTGTTGCTGATGCATTACAGAATCAAGTCAGGTGTAAAACAATTGTTAATTTCTATGTATTCAATTGAATTCAGTTCAATTCCACATTTCTGGTATTTTCAATTAACTAATTTCAACTGGCAACCCATAAGGACCAAATCACCACTTCATATCCTTAGTGTAAATGCTCTTGTAACAAAAGTAACTGAATTTTCTATGCTGGCAGAAGGAGTCAAAATGGAAAACACCTTCTCCAAGGGCTGGTGTAGCTCTGCAAGGCACGTTGATGAGTATTAAGTTCAACCTTACACGAACAGCTAGCGTGCAGGAGTCACGTCTGAGCCTTTGTAAGGATGTTTCTGGGAATGACCATCAAGAGACTAAAGCAGAAATTTATGTATAAATTCTTATAGGCCAACCATTTTTATTCCTGTAATATTCATTCTGACTAACTTTACCAATAGAAGGTGAAAGATTTAGTAGACATCTGAATAATTATTTAAGGTACTATACCTTTGACCTTACAATCTTTATTTTATTTAAAAATTGAAGGTGGAAAGAACAGAGGAATGAACTATAAAATTTATGGTATGGCTAGTAAAGTTATCAGTCTTATAAAGCTGCTTTATCACAAGTTCTATCAGGACGCCCATAATTCTGAATATAAAAAGCGGACATTGGTTAAATTCTTATGCAACATTTTCAATAGTGCTGTTTGTCCTTAGCGAAGGTTCAGGGGTTTTTTAATAGAAAAATCTGCCTGTTAACTTTTTCTCTATTAAGAGTGTAGAATAATAATATTTTAAAATACGGAATTGTCAAGACATACCTAAGCTCTTGAAGCACTTGAAGAAGTACAAACAATGCTTTCTTTACATGGCTCATGTATTCTTGCATTAAGTACTTTGTGGAGACTGTGTAATAGCCAACATTTTTTTTGTGTATCATTAATGTGGTTTGTTCATGTGAGTGAGTTCATGTCCTTTTTAGAAGTACTGAAAGCAGCGTGGCTGTACGGAGGCTACAAGGGAAGATAAAGTCAGTAACTTTCCAAATATCGACATTCTCATGTAAAAAAAAAGTATTCTGTGTTACTAAAATTCACTGCAAGAGTTAAAACTAAACTCTTAATTAGAGTGAGGATCTTAATAGTTGAAGGACAAGCTTCTGCAAGGAGTCTGCTTTTATTTGAAAGGTTTAATAAAGATACTATGAAAATATGTTCTGCAATAGCACATGGTGTGGCTGGTTTGACTAGAATTGATTCTGTATTGCTCATTTGTTCTCCATCTTTGTATTACAGTGGGAACTAACTCATGTTCCTCACAGAGACAAACTGGAGTCAGGAAGCAAGTCTTTCAAAAGAATGCAGTAAGTATTAGAAACTAAAACTTAGTGCTGCTATCTTGCAACTTATTACTGTATTGACGCCAAAGCGCCTTTCTTTCCCCCCCCCCAAAAAGTCTGCTGAACTACTCCTTTTGCAAGAGAGGAAAAACTTTAAAACTACATTAACTTCTACTCTGATTTATATGTCTGGGTGCTTGTTTAAAAAAGAATCAATGTGTTAGAAAGTTCAACAGTGTTATGTTTTGAACAATATTGAGCTCTTGCTGAAAAATTAATTTCCATGGACAGAGAAATAAGGAAGAAAAATACCATCTGTCTAGAAAAAACATAGACTATACCTGTAGCTGGTCTGTGAGCCTTCTGCCATGCTTGTAGAAATCACTGTATTTGTATGCCTGTTTGGTAGGATGAGGGTGATAACGTAACTTACTCTTTCAGATTAGCCTTTAAGTTCAGCATTGCTGGGAAGAATAACCTCTAGTAATAAAGCAATATCTGAATACTATCAAACCAATGTCTTGGCAGGAGGAAGGCAGAGAAGATAATAGAAACTTGTTCACAAACTCATTTTGTAGGAGTTAATTACATCTTGGGCCCTAGGGAGAGGTAATTTTGATGCACACAGTAGGAATGCCAAAGGGCTAGAACTGTGACTTAAAGAGGTCTTTTTCCAAAGAAGCTGAGTTAAGATTATTAATACTGATTTGCTACTGTATTGTAATTAGATCTGCTTTCTCACACTATCAATCTTCAGATTAAGCAAAATGATAATGATTATTTATTTTAGGGTTGTATATGATTATTAGAATTCCTACTGCCCTCAGGATAGGTATGTAATCCTAAAATTAGCTTGGCTTCCTAAGAGCTATTCTGCTTCTAAGGGAATAACCCCCCCTAATCTAAGCAGGTATATGAACCTCATTCAAACTTGGATAACTGGCACATTATCTTCTTTCTCTTACACTTTTGAGTGGGACAAAAGTTAAAAGGTTAACACCATAACGTGAGCAGAAGTGGAACCATAGGTGTTTTATTGAAGCTAGGTTTAAACTTTAAAATCCAAAAATAGTTGAAAATAAGCAGGAAGAATAGCAGTATAGGCTTTTTGGTACCCTAATTCTTCTCAAGATAGGAGTGGTATTACATCTCAAGGTGAAAGATATTTTATTTGTTGAAGTACTTTGAACAAATTTAACTTTTCTTTTTTTTTTTTTTAAGAGAATTTCAGCTTATGATTTCCTAAGGCCATCTTTTATGGAATAACATCAGGCAGTCACTAACAAAGAAGTGGTTTTACCTAGTCTTGACTCTGAACACTCAGCAGGAGCAATGATAAGTGAACCAAATGCTATGATAAGTATTGGGCCTGTAGTCTTATCACAGTAAACCAATAGCACTCATCGTCATTGCAGGAATAGTCTTCCTCAGTGGCAT